GGGGGGGGGTTTGCACCCAAGAACATGAAACTGCAGCTCAGCACGCCTTTAAGACCCGCTACCCCCGGGAGCTGACGAAGCTAAGCAGTTCAGGCAGAGTTCATCTTAAGTGACTCCCTCATCACCCCACTCTCAGCCCATTCTTTGCGGCATTTGCAATTTCTCTGCTCCGGGGGTCAAGTCTCCAGTGTGCCCTCCCTGAGTAATTGTGAAATTATTATGGTTGGTGATTTTAATTTAAATTGGATGGAGAAATGTCATACTGCGGTCGACTCATTTGCTATGGATTTTCACTTAACCAAATTGATTAGTCAACCAACTAGACTTAACTTGAGAGTTGTAATCATTCATTATTAGATCTCATTTTTCCCAACGCACCCAGATGATGTCAAGAAATTAAAACTGCAGCAAAAACTTCAGCAGTGTCTTCTCATCAAGGCAGTGGGGCCTGCCTGAGAGGCCTCAGAGACGGGAAAGGCTGTGGAAATCTGTGGGAAGTCATAAGGGCCAAGGGCCTGGGCGAAATGTTGACATGGAAGAATGGGCAAGAGAAATGAGGTGGGAGTTCATCAGGAGGGAGCCAGGAGGAATGAATTTTTGCCTCCCCAGGGAGAGGAGCAGGGTTGCACCCAAGAACATGAAACCCAGGAACTGGTCTGCCCGCCTCCCTTCTCCATGTGACAAACTTCCACTCGCCCTCTCACATAAACCTTTGAAACCTTCCACAACAACCTCAGAGTAATTTCCCAACTTTCCACTCCTATAGTTCACCTCTGTTACAGAAATTTGAATGTTTTCATCTAATTGTTCTTTAAATATCTTTTCTATTTTAACCATAAGCTTCTTAAGGCCAGATTCAGGTTCAATACTGCAGTGTAGCTTCTATCACTGTGCTCAACACATAATAGGCTGTCAATACGTCCTTGGCAATGGATTGAATAGTGAATTGGCTAAAAGACAATACTGGGTTTTAGGCATTGGGATGATCTCCATGGCAAAGCAAGATTCATCACTCTGGAGTCTTGAAACTGCCCAAGATTGCCCCAAATGACTTAGCTGCTACAGGTAGGAATCCAGCCTAGAGGTTTAGCATGGACCTTAGGCTGAGTGTGACTTACCTGTATGATACTGCCATCCTGTAAAACTAAACTGATCATCGATGGCTTCAATAACACTAAAGGAGGATATAACCAGAAAAATATTGTCAGCCTCTCTGATTCTTCCCTGAACAGACTAACCCAGAACATTAGCTTAGAAGGACACTACTGACTGAAACCTGGACAAAAGAGTTCCCACGAGGGCAAGTGCAGCTTCGTGGGCATGCAATCTGGGTAATCTGTCACAAGAGTCCAGCTGTTGCTGCCATCTTGAAATTACTAATACTTATTGAACAAAAGGATCTGCTTATTAATTTTGAACAAATTATGTAGCTGATCTTGCATATGGTGGAGGGACTTGAGACCATGTCATAAGAGTAATGGATAAAGACCTAAGGTGTTTCCTGGAGAAGGGAAGCCTCAGTGTGGTAACATCCAATCTTCCAATGCAGAAAGTCAGTCATGTGGGAGAAGAATAAGGCTGCCTCTGAGCTGTCCCAGGGGACAGAGCCAGAACCACTGGGTGTGAAGTCTTGTTCAGGCTTGGTGTTAATGTTGGCAGGAGAGGAGGGAGAAGTACTCATCACTGACTAAAATTATTGGGAAAAGGCACCAGGATGGTGTTGTGCAGTCTATGGCCAGAGAAATTCAAACCCTGACTGTATTTGGCATAGAATGTTGTAGAGGTAAAGCATCAGACAGGGGTTGGACTGAAAGATTCACAAAACCCATTCCAGTGCTTTGACTTCATGCATCTGTCTAAGTCCATTTGTGCAACTATAACAGAATCCTGCAGGCTCAACAGAATTTCATTGGCTCCCAGTTTTGAAGGCTGGGGAGACAATATCAAAGTGTCAGCATCTGGTGACGGCCTTCTTGTCACTTCATACCATGTCAGAAGGTATGTCAATGGTGGGAGGGCAAAAAGAGAAAGCAAGAGGAAGCAAACCCACTCCTACTATGACAGTATGATTCAATCATCAGGGAGGAACCCTAGGACCCAAATACGCCTAAAGGTCCTGACTCCTAATAGCATCACAATGGGAGTTAAATGCCAACATGAATTTTGGAGAGGACAAATGTTAAACCACAGCAGTTTCTGCAGCTAAGCAAACCCCCTCTTGTTCTTCTTCTTAATTGACATATAATAATCATATATATTGTTATGGGGTACAGTGTATATTTATTCCATACATGTATACAATATATAATGAGCAAATCAGGGTAATTAGCATTTCCATTTCCTTAAATGTTTATCATTTCTTTGCATTAGGAAACTTGGAATTCTTTTAGTTCTCTATAAAATGTATAATAAATTGATATGAACTACAGTCACCCTACTGTCCAGTAGAACATTAGATCTTCTTCTTCCAAGGTAACTATATTTTGGTAGCTGTTATCTGACCATCTTTTATCTCCCCTCCTGCTTACCCTCTGAAATTCCCTGTGACTCTCATTCTACTCTCTACTTCTGTGAAATAACTTTTCAAACTTATGAGTGAGAACAGGCAGAGTTTTTCTTTCTGTGTCTAACTTCTTTCACTTAACATGATGTCCTCATTTCCATCCACATTGCCCCAAATGGCGGGGTTTTATTCTTTTTTATGGTTAAACAATATTCCATTATGTACTTTTTCTTTCTTTGGTACTGGGGATTGATTGAACCCAGGGCATTCTACCACTGAACTATATCTCCATCCTTTTTAAAAAAACGTTTTATTTTGAGATAGGCTGGCCTCAAACATGCATTCCTCCTGCTTCAGTTACCCAAGTTGCTGAGATTACAGGATACTCCACCTTGCCCAGCTAACATTTTCTTGATCCATTTATCCATTGATGGGCACCTTGGCTGATCCCAAATCTGGGCTATTATGAATAGTAGGCCACCCTCTTTCTAAAACAGAAAAGAGCCAAGTGAAAGGGAGAGGAGTGGAGGTGGGGAGAATCGACGGTCTGGGATAAGTAGATATGGACCTCTAATGCTTGATTTATGACAGGTGCATACAGAGGTGGAAGGTGATGGCCTCATAGTTGAAGCTCCCCCTAAGAGCATTCTTGACTGGTTCTTTCCTGATGTCCATGGGGGAGATTTAGCCCACATGGACAGGGTTACAGGTCAGTGCTTTTCTACCATGCTCCAGCCAACAAACATACTCCAAATGAACTGAATCATCCACCCAAGGCATATGTAGGAGGGAAAGGAGCTAGTGAGGAGTGGCTAAAGATAAGTTACACCACGATGGGCCCCCAGAGTTGCCCTAGGTGGCTGTGATCCAGAAAGATCCAAGGAGTCTCAACACATGAAAAATAAGTTCCGGGCCAATCGCTTCCTTCCTGGCTCCTGGAATCATTTTTCCAGCCCTGCTGTCTGCATACCCCATGGGAGCTATTCATTAACGAGGGTGAGAAATGCCTAAATTACACCTCTGGTTCATGTCCAACTCATTCAGATGGTAAGAAAGTGAGATAACTCACTCCCGCATCATTTCGATTATTATCATCGAGTCATTTCCCCTTCAGCACAGAGAAGCCATTGACTGAAGGACCCAAACTGCACCCCTCCCCCCTCATTTCTGCATCCCACACCTGACCTCTGGGTCCCTCCTTTTCATTCCTACATTTTTTTTTTAAATGAACAGAACCTGTGTTTCTCCTTCCTACCTGGACACCTGATCTTATCTGTCTCTGCCTTGTTACAAGATCAACAATATTAAGCGCCTTTCTTTCCATGATCTTTTCCCAGAGGAGGGCTCCCACTCACTGGGGAGATTGACAGTAAAATTGGCACCCGCCTCTTTGCCCCCCCCAACCCCCACCACCACTCCAACTTCAGATGGACTCTGAAAACATCATTTAGGGGAAAGGAGAAGGGGGGAGAGAGGAAGGGGTGCTGAACAAAGGTTTTATTCAAACTCTTGCATGCTAACATCTCCAAAAAGCTTTTAACAGAGACCATCATTTCCCTCCAAGAATCAATGCATTTTAATTCATACAAAGATATTTGTCTGCTGTTCCCTTCCTTCGAGGCGCAGAAGCGCGTTTAACAAAACAAGTCAGCCTCACGTAGAGACAAACGTGCTGGCTTCTCCCTGAAATTACTGGAAGTTCATTTTCAAAAGCCGTCCTGTTTTCTGGGAATCAATGCATATCAACTAAAATCAATAGCTTCTCCGTGCGGATGGGCTGAGACACCAAACTGATCTAGCGTTCCAGTGCATTTGTATCCAAATCTAGACATTCTCAACAAGTCAATGAATTTAAACGTCTGCCAGTGTCTTTTCACTTAAAACTAATCTGTTTGCTGATCGGACTGTACATTTCCAGGGTGCGTAGTAATATACTCTGTGTGTTTACCAGATCCAATGTACATTAACTCAAATCAAAATATTTCCACTTAAATCGAGTTTGTCCCAACTTCAGCAAGCCTCATGGGAATTAACTCTAGGCCTGATCTCTAAGAGGACAAGGCTCCATCCCTTCCTCTGGCTTCAGGGGGTGATCTTACTGATGTAACTAATAGGTTCTGGAACAAAGTGCTTCCTGCTTCTCTACACCATAAAACTCTAGGATTACAACGAACACTGAGGTGTTCATTGGGTCTCCCCCTCTGCCTTCCAAACTCCCCTCTTCTGCTTCTAGAAATCACCTAGGAGAGTCTCTGGGTGGTCATTCCTATATGACATGATGTCCAAGCAAGGACTGTCCCAGCCTGCCACTTGTTGATCACCTGCTAGATTTAAGGCTCCTGGAGATCAAGGGAGTGAAAAGCTGTCCTGATGTCCTGATGTTCTGGTGTATTTTCTCTGTGGTGGAGTGCCCCGTCCATGTTTGCATGGTTAGCCAACAGATGTTTCTGAAGCACCTACTTGTCCAGATTCTATGCCAAGCATAGGGAGTCCATGATGACAAAGTCCAGACAAAGCCCATTCCTTGCCATCCCCTCCAAGAGAATCAGCACACACACACACACACACACAAAAAAAAAAAACAGTTATTAACTACATGTGTGTGCTAAAGACCATGGGGCTGAGGCAGGGACAAGGTGCTGGAGGAGCAAATAATAGGATCTAAACTAGAAATGGGCAGGTGACAGGGCAGGGGCCATATTTAGAACACACCAGAGCTGAGCCAATACTGCCACCTTCACTTACAATAGTTTATTCACCTTCACAAGTCAGAAGGAGTTTAGTAACTCCTTATACTCCATTTTGCAGCTGAACAAACTGAAACTCACAGGTTGTTTGACAGCTCTGTAAGATAACTGGCAAGTGACACTCATCCTATGGGGACACATTAGCAAGTGGCAGATCCTAGGACTCTCAGACCAAAGGACTCACACTGTCCCCACTATGCCACCCACCTCTAGCAAGTGAAGTGAGTTAACCCAAGTTTTCATGTGTCCCCACCAGCAAGCCAGACCACAGAGGCAGTGGGTGTGTCTGGTTTTAGAAGAGGAAGGGAGCTGAGGGCTCAGGCGGGTATCAGCCAAGAGTTCCTGGGAAACGCAACTCAGGAACCAAGTCAGAGAAGTACTAAGGAAGGGAACAGTCCCAGGCAAGAGACACATATGGAGCAAATCCACAAAGATAAGAATAAATACTGACCTAGAGGGGAGGAGTGAGGAGACCAGCTGAGGCTCCGCAAGTGGCTTCGGGTAGGGGAGTCACAGGAGATGAACCTGGAGAGGGAATGTGACCCAGGTTCTGGAACATCTTGACCCTCTCACTACAGTTGTGCCTTTGATTGGCTCCCAGGACCCACAGCTGCTGCTGGTCTTCCAGAAGCCAAGAGGGGCCAAGAAGGCATGGCAGGTCCCTAGGCCAACCTAATCCAGACCTCCCTCCATTCAGCAGGGTCCCTCTTCCTCAGCTACCCAATATACTAGCAGCTGGGGGGATGCTGCAGAGGGAGGCTGCTCTCAGCCGCAGCCTCAAGGCATCACCATGGAGACACTACACAGGCGCCAGCCACACAAAAGGAGCTGAGAGGCTCCTAGCTCACCTGGGACCTCAGCTAAGGAGGAGGTGGCAACAGTGTTTCATTTTCTCTCCTTGCTCTCTCTAAAAAAAGAAGAGGGAATTTTCCCAAACAAACCCCACCCTGCCCCTCCAAGGAGGTGGGGAAGCCCTTCCAAGGTGGTTGACCTCTTTCTGAGAGAAGAGAGAGGCCCAGGTTTGGGTCCTACAACAGGACATTCATGGAAGAGAAAAAGGGTGGAGAAAAGGGCCAAAGGGAAGTCCCTGGTTGTCCCACTGTCTCCCATCCCATGCAGGGCCAGCTCAGGGTCATGTAAATATAACATGAGTGTACGTTGAAAACTTCACACTTACTCACTTTGGACCTTTATAATTGACTATGAGGCTGGGTCTTTTATAAGAGGATAAACAACACCCCCTGGGATCTCCAATGTCTTCAGCCCCATCCCCACTCAATGGTCCCATTCCATCGCAGCTGGCCCCCTCCCAGCAGCTCAGGAACCTGCCTGCATGAGGAAGAACCAGGTGGGAAGGGACAGAGGAGGAAAGGGCCAAGGTGCCAGGAAACCCAGGAACAGGCAAGGCCACCGGATGTGGAAAGAAAGGCTGTTGCCTGTGAGCAGAAGGGAGGTGCTGGCTTGCTCCTGGCAAGCAATCTTCACACACGCATTGTCGTTCTCCTCTGCAAAGGGGTGAGAAGAGGGGCGGGGGAGAGGTGGCGCCGAGAGAGGGAGCAAGCAGAGAGGTGAGAAATCCAGCATCTTCAGACCTGCCCACACTGCTGGCTCCTCCGCTGCGTACAATACTTCATCTCACAGTCATTAGAGACAGCCCGCAGGATGGATGGGAGCCGGACACCCCGAAGGGTGGGAAATGAAGAGAAGAGATGCAGACGGAGATAGACGTGCGCCTGAACATTCAATATCTTGAAAGAGACAGGCACCAGCCTGGTGCTGTCCCAGCACCCAAGACCCGGATTCCTGGGGGTGGCCAGTGGACAAGCTCCAGTGTCACTCCAAAAGCCCAGGGGCACCAGTGGCCAACGCCCCCATGTCTGCTCTGAAGTCTTGTTACTCTTTCTCTTTTCTCCCATAACAGAAAGGGACTCAACTTCCCCTACAGTTCGATGCAGACCCTTCTAGTTCATGATCAAAGAGCTGTAAAGTGGGAGGGGGAGTCACTCATCCTCTTGGTAGGTGGAGTGCTTGCTACCAGCAGCGTAAATTAGCTCCAGCCTGCTCTGCCTTGCAAATGCTCCCATTGCACTCCAATAAAAGCCAAAGTATTTCCATTGAGGCCTCATAAAACACCCCTCCAACCCATTACCTTTCTGAACTCACTGGGTATATTAACCTCGCACCTGCTCTCACCCATGCTCAGGGCCAGCTCCATACTCATCAAACACATCAGACACTTTTGGGGCTCAGGACCTTTGCACCTGCTTCACTCTGCCTGGAACACACAACCTGCATTCCCTCAGGCCTGTTTCAGCCCTTGTTGGTCACCATATCTAAAACTGCAGCCAATCCCCAAATTCCTAAACCTCTTCCCACGTTTGTTTTTCTTAGCTTTTACCACCATCTTGATTGGTTTATTGACCTCGTTGTTTGTCTCCATCCCTCATTGAAGTTCACACTCCCTTTAAGTGGAGTTTTTTGACTCTTTTGTTCACTGTTGTATCCTTGGCACCTAGAAGCATCTTAGCAGATGATAGGGCTCAATAACTATTCATCAAGTGAAAGAAACATCCTTACCACTGCCCCCTTGACTTCCACTCAAACCTGTATAAGCAGCATCCCCTCTAAATGCCTCTGAAGGTACCAACATTCCTGGAGAATTACTTGTCCTTTGGATCCAGTTGAGGCTGAACAGGTGCAAGATGGCAGGGACCAACAGAATGAGGATCCAGAGAGGCCAGTGTGTGGATGGGAGAGATAATCTGGGTGGCAATCCCCAAGGGCATCACCACCATGTGCAAACAGCAAATTGGACTTGCTCACTAGTGTCTCCTGCAGTGAGGACATACATGCTTGCACACATGTACACACACACAACTCAGTTTCCTCCCCTGGTCATTGAGACCTGAGGGGAAAAGCCACAGAGTCAGCAGACTTGGGTTCTAGTCCCTGAGCCATCACCCTCAGGCCCTGTACCCTTCACCATCAGCAGTGACATCTCTCAGTAAGGGTCCAGGGTGGTGGCAGGTGTGAGCACTTTGTACCAATCATCTGCTGAAAAGCACCCTTAATGCCTGCACAACTTGCTGTTTGCTGCCTAAAGCTGGTGTGTGTGTGTGTGTGTGTGTGTGCATGTGTGTGGTGGGGGGGGCATGCAGTAATGAAGCAGCAAGTGCTCTTTGTGGTGGGCAGAGTGATCACCACCCAGAATGCAAACCACAAGGCAAAGCATCAAATGGGTCCAGCTTGGTTGATTTCCCGCTGGAGTAGATGCCTTTTGCAAATCTGGATTAATAATGAGTGCCAGGCGTGGGTGCAGTCCCCATCTACCTACCCCTGGTCTGAGCTGGTGAGCCCAAGGACAAGGGCCCTCTCCTGTTTCCAGCTGACTGGCAGATGCCCATGATGCTGGGAAGGTGGCCTGGGCCTGGAAGGCGCTGGCCAGAGCCTTCCTGGCTGCAGCGGCACCCTTTGCCAGCTGGGCTAACTGGGCATTATTTATAATTGAGCTTATCGTGTGCAACTCTCACTGTCACTGTCGGTTAGAACCATTTGATGTCGTTGAGCCTTTGGAAAAAGGAGAAGAGTGGGAGGGAAGAGGCAAAGGCAAGAGAAACAAAAGGAGTTTCGTAGCAGGACTTCAAAAAAGCCAAGTGTTTGAAAAGATTTTTGCAAAGGTTCTGACCTACTTTGCATGCGGATAAGCCATCTTCTTCGCTTTAAAAGAAAAAAAAAAATCCTGTACAAAGTGGCCACAGCTCTATTCAGGAGAGCCAGGGCTGTGCTGCAGAAAGGGGTTGTAGTGCTGTAATCAGAGGCCATTTAGGAGCCATGATTTGGGTAATTATATAAGATTTCAGCTTTTCTTCTTCCAGGGCCATGCGTAGCCCTGGAAGATGGGGTTGCCAGAGCGAGACAGCCAGGGCTGAGACAGTCAGTGCCCGGCAAGCTGAGCTGCAGGAAGCCAACCTCTGTGCTCTGAGTGAGTCACACCCCGACCAGGTGCAGACCTGGCTCTGACACCTCCATGCTACACAGCCTTGGGTCCTCCCCTATACTCCAAGGGGCTAACTTTTTCCATTATATGCCTAAATGCATCCATGTGCGCAAGTAGACGTTCTCAGTCCAGTGCCTGGCACATATTAGGTGCTCAATAATGGTGACTGTCCTCTCTGTTTTCTAGAATGAGTTGAGAGGAGGTATCCCTTCCTGCTCCTGGACCAACCAAGGGGCCAGCTCCACAGCTGAAGACACCCATCCTGAAGAGGGCCCCATGGAGTCTGACATCAGAGCAACAGGAAGTGTGGGTGAGGCACAAGGACATTCTGCAGAAAGCAGGTGGCAGTGGGGACCATCCTCCTCCACCCCACCACTCCTGTTTGTGGCTTTATAACCCCAATGGTCTAAAGAGTTCAACACCCTGAACTAGGACTGCTAACCATATTTAAGGAAAATGAGAGGAATTGAGATAGAGATTAGAAGGAACTGAGGAGGAGGATTACTGAAAGGCTGGGTTCATTATTTAATTGTCATTTAAATAATGCATGGCATTATTAATCCTCATAACAATCCAATGAGGTTGGCACTGTTAGGAAATATTACCATTCCCATTTTGCAGATGAGGCAACTGAAGTTTTGAGAGAGTACATTGTTTCTAGTCCCACAGCTAGTCCATGGGGCCTGTGTCTGAATGAGGAGTCTGGGCTCTCAGCGGCTTTATATTATCTCCAAAGCCTCTGCTTGCTTGCACTCAATGAATATGTGATGAGCACTCATTGTGGGTGCTGGCTCCATCTCAGGCACTGAAGATGCAAAGACCAACACCAACCACCACAAGAGTTGGCCCTGGTAGCACCCCCAGGATCAGCATTAGGTGGGGTGTCAGCACCACACCCCGGCCTACTCCCTGCAAGGTGTGAGCCTGCTTCAGAATGTACTCAGAGGATGCAAATCAGCCCTTCTAATCTCAGTCAAATTCAAGCGTCGGAGGGTAGGTCAATCTCTTTTGAAAATCTAATCATTTCATGAATTCCAAACAAAGATGAAATTAATTGTGGATTATCCTTTGGCTTTAGGTTACCGTGGCCTCTGAATGCAGTTATCGAAAGCTCCTTTGCAAAGGGGCTACAGCTGTCTTCCTGGGCCCTGGTCAGCAGAGCTCTTGAGCATTAACCTTCCTGAAACCTGTGCAGGCCCCTTGATGGGGCTCCCGTGACTGCCCTGGGGTACAGATGGGACCCCTGCCCTCATCCCTTTGCTTCTCATCTAGGGGGCATCTGATCCAATGAGAGCACAGAAGTGCCAGAGCTTGGCTAATCTCTAACCTTCCAAATTCTGGCAGACTCAGTCCCCAAATAAAAAATGCCCCAACATGGAAGCTCAGGGTACATGAGCAAGGATGTCCCAAGCTAAGAAATGCACATGATTCTTGATCCAGAGTTTTTTCAAGGAATTATCATATAAAATTCTTACACGCTCTGCACTGACATGCATAAGAATGCATGGCTCAGCACTGCTTATAACAATAAAAAAGCTCACAATTACCTATGATGATGGAATCATGAAACAACACCATGGTACAGCTATATTTCAGAATACTAGACGGCTGTGAAAAAGAATGAAGAGAAATAATAGACACCAACAAGAAGTTTTCAAGATAAATTCAGTAAAAAAAAAAAAGTAAGCTGCAAAACAATATGCTTGGTATAGTATTATATTCAAAATAAACAAAATCTGTGTATGGGGGAGTGTATATAATTTCA